CTCTAACTATCATTTACTCTTGTTATCATGTAGTGAGAAATTTTCATGGCCCAAAAAATCTTTATGACTTCATCCAAAAATTGATTTTGTGGCTTTATTTTATGTAATTTTCTGCTTCTGGCCAGTTGATTGATTTTTTTGGATTTAATTTTTGTGAAGCTTGGATAAAATGCAAAATTTGCAAACATTTTGGGCCACAAAAGATTCTAGCTCTATGGTACATGTACATACTGTAGCTTGGGCGAGGGTTTCTCACAAAGCATGCTAAGTGAGCTAAACAGCAATACAGTAAATGGCATTTGGAAGAACTTTAAAATTTCATAAAAAATCCAAACTTGATTGGAATCAGCTCACAAAGTAAGAACATGTATACATTTGTGTATGTACATGTATCAGGAAAATTATTAAAATGAAGAACTACATGTTGCCTAGTGTATGGAGGCCTTAAGTTCAAAGGCCCAATTTTTGAGAACTTTAAAAATTTATTAAAATTTAAACTTGGTCGGAATCAGCCCAATTTTTTCACACAACATAAAAACATGTATATGTATCAGAAAAATCGTAAGAATTTAGAATTTTCTCCTGACCATTTTTGACGGAATTTGAGCAAAGACCGAAGGCTAATAGCCTTTGGTCATTGGCCCAATTTTCAATCAACTTGAAAAATTCATTAAAAATCTAAACTGTATTGAAATACATTTTGTGGCGACTTTTATTAATTTTTCTAATAGGTTTATCGTCATTTGAAGAACAGTGACATATTACTATTGAATAGGCAACCCTCTCTACACAAACCAAGTATCATGGCTCATAAGGTTAAATATACATGAACATGCACATGTACATCTACATGTATTTAATACAAATTTCTTGAAAAGAGCACTTTATCATCCTTGAAATGTACTTTTTTGCTCTCTCTCTGTTTCTCCTCCCCAGGCTAGAGTATTATCAGGAGAGAAGACGTTAAGGTTACATTATGCTAACTGTAAGACGTACAATGCTGATTTTGATGGAGGCGAAATGAATGCTCATTTCCCTCAAGGAGAGCTGGCAAGATCTGAAGCTTATAGCATTGGTAAATATGTACATGTACATGTGTATACCGTAATTATGATCCTTTTTTCCTGTTTGTGTGTAACAAGTTAAAGCATACAAAATTAGCACATACATGTACATGTACATACAATTGTGCTACAGTATATGAGTGGCAAGCATTGTCCATGGAAAATTTTCTTGCATTATTATACATGTGTATCAGTATGACAGTACAGTACATCCTCCATTATCCGAACACCTTGGTGCACTTTTATTTGGAGAAATGTTCAGATAGCTGAATAGTCCGGATAAGTGAAATACAGCGCAGAATGCAGTAGACTGACCTATCCTGTCTTTTTCTTGAAGAATAAATGTGCATGACTTTCCTTTCTCTAACTCGCAAAGCATCTCAGGCTTCTCTTTAATGGGCTTCCTCTCGTTAAACTCATGCTCCAGTAGCCATTTTAACCGGTTATTAATAAATTAACTAGTCTGAGCATGCGCATTAGAGACAGCCATGCATTCTGATTAACAAGGGTTCGGATAACCAGGGATATAATAGACTAACATAACCGGGATTGGTTACGGACCGGAAGTTACCGTAAATCCTTAAATAGAAGCCGCATTTGAATAAACGCCAGGGTAGCAATACAATTTAACTATAAATACGCAACACTAGACCAGGAATGACTGAGTAGTCTAGTGGATAATGCCTGAAGTTCCAGAAGTCAAAAGCATGCGGTCACAGGTTCAAACCCCGCTCTGGGCCTAAGTTTTTTTTACTTTTTATATATTTTTTGAGGTCCAAATACCATTTTAGGAAATAGACGCCCGGGCTTTTATTTAAGGAAATACGGTAATTATCAGACTCTGTTATTATTCATTAAAATTAATGGCAGCAATCAATGGCATCTTAGCAAAATGGCTGAATCTAAATTGTTATAACTAAAAAACAGCAACAAGGAAAATTCAAAAACAACTTTAAACAATGTAAAAACATGTAAAAGGTCTCATATAGCAGTTTCATAGCAATAGAATGTAGTCTATTCCGCTGAGAGGTACGCAAAAGTCATACCATGGCAAACTGGTTTTTCTTGAATATTTCCTGAAGAACACTCTGGAGAAACAAGAGAAGTTGCCTAAACAATGTAATAAATTAAGAAGCAACATTTCATGACAAAAACACATTCATTGAAACAAATATTTGGGCTACAGAGGTACACAAATGGAATTTTAGCCATAAATTGAAGATTTAAACAATTTAAACAAATATTAACTTACAATAACCTATCAGAACCTTGAATCCGCCATTATAACTTTGCAGTAGATTTTTCATAAAGCTAAATACATTTTTAAAAGAAAAAAGAGCAACTTCATACTCGAGAGATTGACAGCCGCCATCTTGAAAATCATAACAGAGACTGCAAAAAGTTTTTATACACAAATGATGCGCTCACGTGATCCCGTTGCCAATCCCGGTTACGTTAGTCTATTATATCCCTGGGATAACCGGTGTTCGGATAATAGAGGATGTACTGTATTGCCTTACTTAACTAACCTTTTGTGTACTGTCCTCTTATTCTCTTTCTCAGTATCCACACAGAACCAGTACTTAGTTCCTAAGGATGGTACTCCACTAAGTGGCCTCATTCAGGATCATGTTGTATCAGGTGTACTGCTAACACTGAGGGACAGGTTCTTTGATAAGTGAGTAATGTGTTAATGTGTTAATGTGTTATAGTCTGTTATTTGGTGTGTGTATTGTTAGAGGGGACTATCAGAATCTTTTGATGGTTGCTTTGCCTGATTTCACATCTCCTTTTAAAGTCTTGCCTCCTGCTACATGTATATGTAAACCAAAGGAACTCTGGACAGGAAAACAGGTACAAAATTTCATGTATTGTATAGCAGGAAATTTTGGAGGGAGTTGATTAAATTTGGCAAATTTGGCATTTTGATAGCCATTTGCCAAAATAAAAGTCTTCCCTTTAGAGCCATTATTTGCATGCTCAATTGCATGTGGCCATTCGCCAATCCCCAAAATTGTCCCTCCAAAATTTCTCGCTATACAGTATACATGTATGTACATTGTACACCGTACATTGACGATTTATAATGTAAATATACCATGTTTTTTCCTTTTCTCTACTCACAGGTTATATCATCACTATTGTTGAATCTCATTCCAGCTGGTCAGGACAAGCTGAATCTTATCTCAAAGATTAAGATCAGTCCAAAGACAAGTGTAAAGCAAGAGTACATGTAATGTATTCATTCCATCCGGTTTTTAGTGATTTGTACATGTACCTACTTCCGTTCTCTCTTGATCTTTCCTTTTATTATTACTTTCTCTCTCCCTCTCTCTTATGTCCAGTGCTTGTATTCCTGTTGGTTTACATAAACCATTTCCCAGTAATTCTCTACAGCTAATGGTACAAGCTGGAGCTAAAGGCTCTACTGTAAGTACATGATCATACATACATGTACTACAAGTATGCACATAAATCATAACATAAATGTACATGTACATGTATGATTGTGCTATAAAGTTATTTACTCACTTCATACTGGCTTAGCATTATTTTATATCCATACACATGGGTTATTGTCACTTTCTCTCTCTCCAAAGGTCAACTGCATGCAAATATCATGTCTTTTGGGTCAAATAGAGTTAGAAGGTTGATGCCCACCAATAATGCTATCAGAATGGTCCCTACCTACATTCCTTCCTTACGATACCACTCCTAGATCAGGTCAGTGTAGTGTGCATGTACATAGCTTGGTAGCAATATACTGTACATGTACATGTATACATATGCATACATGTACATGTATATTGCTACTGAATTAAACGTAATTAATGATCATGCTAATTTTTGTTTCCCTATCCTGTAGGTGGTTTTGTTGATGGTCGGTTTCTAACTAGCGTAAGACCCCCAGAGTTCTTCCTCCATGAGGTTCATTGAATTTCTGTGTGTGTCTCGGACCCCTTAATAATTCTTTTCTTCATAGGGCCTTGTAGATACTGCTGTGAAAACAAGTCGCAGTAGGTATTCAGAGATGTCTCGTAGAACATTTAGAAGGAATTATGGTCAACTATGATCTAATAGTGAGTTAATAGTATTTTGTGAATTATTTATAAATTTTCTTTAAAATCTGGCTTAAGTACAGTATGGATAATAATTATTTTCAGGTTTACTTAGAGCATAAAGGGACCTACTCTAGGCATTTGAAGTATAAACGCTTGGGTATAAAGTATAAAGCTGGTGGTATATTAGTATAAAGCTGGATACATGCATGGTGTGACTGGAGACATGCGTACGTACATACTTACATATAGAGTGAGGAGCTACTCACTTGCGTGGGCTTGCTCATACTCGCCCCAATAATCATTCTTGGGTAAGTTGGATCCAGCCAGTTTAGCCTATATAGTCTTCTTACAAACCATACCACATGCAAAAGAAGCTATGCATGCAGTATTATAATAGTTATAACGTTATAATCAGGGGCGGATCTAGGATTGAATTTTTGGGGGGCCATAATGATATGAGTGGAATAATTAGTGGGTGTAGTCAACTAAGCCTGGAGGATTTCATTTGGGAAGCCAAAATTTTGAAGTTTAGGCCACTTAAATGACCCTCTTTGTGGTTTACATATTGTTTACACAGTCAAGTACTGCAGCTGTTTCACAGCTTACATAGATAAAACTAATTTTATACTTGACCAGAAAAATTTTTGAGGGGGCCTGGCCCCCCCAGGCCCCCCCCTAGATCTGCCCCTGGTTATAATGTGACATCTATAATGTCCAAGGTGCAAGTGCAGATATAAACATAGATCTAGATATGTTTGCATGCATTATTGTTTGCACCTTGAACTAGGGGAGCTCCCACCATTCATGGCAATAAATACAATTTTGAGCATCATTCCAACACAAACCACACCTTCAATAACACTATCATGCTTATAAAACTAGCTTAGTCATTGACTTTTAGCTATATCATCTACTTGAATAAAATACATAAACACCTGCTCACATCCATGATTTATGGGTTGCTGCTGTTGTAGACAGGCTCCTATATTAGATGATCCTACCATCACTGCTCATCTCAAAGTTAGTAGATTCATATCAGTAAGGGGCTATACAAGATATCAAAACAAAGCTCCAGGCCTGTTGTACACAGATGGAGAGAATCTTTATTATGAAGCTACTTGTGGTGAGAAGAGAGCTTGTTCTTTGTGCTGTAGGTTTTGTCAACCATTGTCCAGCATAGGAGCAATCACTGTTGAGCAAGGTGCAAAGGTCATGAACATTGGATGCTATCATGGATGGGCTATATTGATGGGACCATATCTCAAGGTGACTGTTGACAATGGAGTGATATTGGCTTCAGCTGCAGACATGGGATCATCATCATTCCTTCATATTCTATACAACATGAAAAGAAAGACTAGCTATGTAACCTCCGGGATTTAATTGAATTATAAGACATGCTCTATTAAATCATGAACATAAATGTGTGTCCATAGATATACGACTGTTAGAGTTTTGTGTCAAACAACAAAATTCCCATAAGTAGATCTAGTTAAATAATGTTAACTATAATCACAATTAATTAATGAATTAACTGCCCTGCTCTATTGTATGTTACAGATAGAAGTGTCCAGATATGCTAATTTTTGCCTTATAATTCTATTCTGAAATTCTAAAAAATTTGCTTCTTGTTCTTTTACTCTCTCCTATTTTTCTCACTTTATTCATGACCATACTACAGTAAAAATGAAAATTGGTAAGTCTGAGAAGCTATTTAATCAGCAGAGACTGCAGAATATAACTCTTCATATCAGTTTCAGAATCTGAGTTTTCTTCAAGAATATAGAATTACAACTAACTAAGACATTAAAAAATTTCAAAAATGCTGCACTTGCTGCTATTTAGTAGAGTTTGGCTACTGACCCACCTATGTATATAGCTACCTATTATTCCGGAATAATCAGGACACCCTTAGTTACAGGTTCACGCATCTCAGACCATAGATAGTCATAGTAGACTATAGACAGGAAGGATGAATTGTGAAACGTCTAGATTTTTGTCATTAATGCACACTTCTCCAAAATGGTGGACAGTACTGAGACATGACTGCTTTTGTTTTTGTAAGTTAACTGCTATACTGTGTTTCGAATCCATCTTTCCTGTCTACTATCTATGCTCATACAGAGTCTTTACTCGATGCTATCATAGATACTTTGATGCTATCGAGTCTTATTTTCTTGCCCGGTGGGTATGAAATCATCAAGATGTGGTTGGAGCTGTAAATGGTGAGTTTGGAGTCCTTTTGACCTTGCACATGGTGTAGAGTTTCTGTCTCTTCTTTTAGGTTATCACAGAGCAGAAACAGACTGAATTGTGGTAGCTGACCCAAGAAGATGAAGAGATACCTGAGAATGGTTCACATGAGGTTAGAGGCTCTTTGAAATCAAATGAAACACCACACAATGAACTGATGCTAAGAAAAAATTGTTTAAATTAAGATTAATTATATTTAATTATGAAATTGTTTATTTTTAATACAAGTTTTTAGCAAATGTCAGTTGAAACTTGAAACAAAATTGTTTTTTACAAAAAGCATAAAATAACAAATTAATGTTTAATTAATGTTGCCGTATAATCATAATGTTTGTGAGAAGGGAAGTGAGAAATAGGAGGCAGTCTGTCTCTAGTAACAGTTGGCAAAGTCCATTCTCCTAAAATAAAAATAATGATGAATATAAAGTACTGAATAATACTGAGTAATTTGTATTAATGTACATATGTTAGTAATTAAGCATGCTTGTTAGTGTGTCTCTGTGTGTCATGTGTTTTGTGTGTGATGGTTACATGTGTCTATATGATACGTGAGTGTGTGTATACTAATACATACATTATGATGTGTTCATGTCTGATAGTGCATATATTGTATGTGAGAATTTATGAATGCATGACGTGTGTATGTGATGTGTATCTATAATGTGCATGTTATGTGTGTGTGAATATTATCATGTATCTATGTGTGTGTGATGTTTGTATATGTACATGTATCTGTATACATAAGCTAATGTGACATGAGTGTGTGTGTATGTGGGTTCATGTTATTTATTTATTGTTATTTATGTATTGTTATTTATTTATTGTTATTTACTTATTGGTATTTATTTAATGTTATTTATGCATGACTGTGCATGTGCTTACCTACTATAGTACATACAGCTAATTGTAATAAGTATCCACGGCATAGCTAATTGTAAGATATTAAATAAGTAATAACAATAAGGAAGTAGTCCATAAGTGATGGTCTATTTTGAATTGAAGATACAAGAGAGGGAGTGAGCTTCAGAGAAGAAGAGGGAAAATTAATCCATTGATTAACTGCAGAGCCTATATAAAATAAATTTTGGTATAAAAAGTAGAAGAATTACATGTGATTTGAGAAAGATTGCCTTTGTGATTAGATCTTACAGAGTAATTTAAAAGGAAACAGACATCCAAATTAAGTTTTTTTATTTTATGGTTTTAATATGATTGCTTGACCATTTTAATAATGTGTTCCAACTTCCATAGTCTAAAAAATTTTATTCACTGAGATATGAGCCTTCAAAAATGCCCTTTTTGCTTCTTGCAGTGTTACTTCCTGTCGGTGGGTGTGGCTAAACGTGACGTCATAGTAGGAATGTTTGCATTCCTTTATAGGAGAAAATGATCCTTTATTTTTATGCCTTATAATATAATAGCACTAATTTCAAAATAGGGATTATTAGCTTTCATTACTCTAAGCTTGTAACCGCAAGAAACAGTCATAATATCACAATTAGGTAAATCTTCTTGCTTGCTTATTTTGAGTCTTTTCTTAGATTTGCATGCTTAGAATAATGAAAGCTAATAATTCCTATCTTGAAATTAGTGCTATTATATTATAAGGCATAAAAATAAAGGATCATTTTCTCCTATAAAGGAATGAAGTTATCTGCAAACATTCCTACTATGACGTCACGCTTTAGCCACACCCACCGACAGGAAGTAACACTGCAAGAAGCAAAAAGGGCATTTTTGAAGGCTCATATCTCGGTGAATAAAATTTTTTAGACTATGGAAGTTGGAACACATTATTAAAATCGTCAGGCAATCATATTAAGACCATAAAATAAAAAAACTTAATTTGGATGTCTGTTTCCCTTTAAGAGAACTAGGGTGAAACAGAGTGAATATATATATAATGATGTCGTGTGATAGTGATGTGTGTCTATGCATGATGTGTATGCATGCATGTATACATGTGTGTCATTAATGCACTGTACAAGTTAGTGCACATGAATATTTGTAATAGATCAATGGATATCCCCTGATGTTACTGGAGACAGACCACCTCTTATTGATGACTTCACTCTAACAACAATTACCAATGACACTGTGTTAATGTTTGGAGGCTCTACTGATAATAGATGGAGTAATAAACTGTATGTGATAATTTCACAAAGTTATCAGTGGTGAGCTAACATATTGGTTAAATTTAATTAATTAATGGAAATATTGAATGTCATGTGATTAATAATTTGCTTGATGAGCTAGTACATCATCATGTACACAAGAACTTTGTGTCATTAATATAAATGGATATTTTTTATAGAATAGGTTGTGACATAACCCTTTGTATTATATCATCTTATATAAAATTTTTATGCATCTACTATAAGGACAAAGATATTCTTAAGTTATATTAGATCACTATCAACAATTATTTATGCAGGATATATTAGAAGTACCTAATCCTGAAGGATCAGTACAATGGCCTAAGGAAAGATTGGGTCATTCCAGTGTACTGATTACCACTAGTTCAGGAGCATATTTACTTGTGGTGGGTGGATGGTGTACCTATGATGGCTGGTTACTGAACATTGAAAAAAGGAAATGGAAAAAACTGGTATGTTTTTATGCTTTCACAAAATTTGCTAAATTAAAACCTGCCAATTAAACACCAAAAGTTACACTGAACAATTTGCTTAAATTTCCCCTTTAAATTGTGGTTAAAAACACAATAATTAGCTTAAATGTAAACTTGCATCTCACCAATGTTGTATTACTTGGTGAAAACTGATGATTGCTGGAATTCACAGGTATTATGAATTCACGTACATATGCTATGTGTACACACAAACTCGTATGACAAAATACAACACAAACTGAAAACAGCTAGAATACTTTAATAAAAATTGATACACACTTCACTGAATTATATTGTGTAATATTAATAATATTTTATATTGCATTTGAATAAAACAGTTACAATTTTAGCAAGATGTTGTAATTTTGATAGATTAATTTACCAGTGGATGTCACTAATAGATTCTGGCATTCTCTATCAGTGTGGAGTATAACTCCAACAACTAACTGGATAATAGAGTTTGGAGGAGATACACATTACACTGATACAGCAGTTACTGAACTCAGTAAGTATACCACATGGCTCATGAAGTATAAATATTACTTACTATGGTACATTGAATATGCAATGATAATCATTTAAAATTGCATTTAATATACTGTACAACTAAAAAATTTGAATCCTCAAATTTTAGCAAATCGACTCTAAAACAGGTTTAGAGGGTAGCATACAAAATTTGCATGCTGCTACAAAGCCCTATCAAATTGGAGAATTGAATTTTCGGCAAACAGACCTTAATATGCCGAATTCGCCAAAAGTTTACTCCAATTTTTTAGCTATAAAATAAAATGGTTTAGATGACTGTAATCTGTACTATTTTGTTACTGTATAGGATATACTAATGATAATGATTGGTCTACTAGTGTAATACCTCTGGACCAGTATCAAGATCAACTAAGAAGAAGGATACTGGGTGATTGGGAGAATTTAGAAACAGAAAAACAGCTTCAAATATTTCAAGATCGTCTTCAATTAGAAAGAGAGAATTTTATGAGGAACAGCTTCAAAGAAAAACAAAAGAGAAAGAGCAGATACAGCAAGATGGAGACAAAGAGCAGCAACAGCTTCTTCAAGAAAAGGCAACACTTACTCAACAACTTAATGATGCTACCACTCTCCTTGAGCAAGCAGAAAAGGACAAATCATCTCTTGAATTAGGTACCTTTGTGTTGTACTGTTGTTTACATGTGCATTGTTTAGTGTTTACATTATAATACTAGTGGATTAATTTAAAAAATAATTCTCATACCATGCATGTATAAGGTAAGCAGATACTCTCAGTACTCCTAGGAGGAGTGCTGTCAGTATATGATTGAACATGTACATCTGTTTGTGGACTATTATACATGCAGTGAAAATTTGTTCAAGCAACAAATATTTTATTTTCTTGTGATGGATTAAAAACTATTGATTATTATTCTTTATTATATAGGTATGTGTTACTACTTATTGGTTGTATATGTGTATCATTATCATTTGAATTATTAGTTGTATGTGTATTATGGATTATTAGTGGTGTATGTATTGTGTATTAATAATGTATTGTGGTTTGACCTTAGACTAATTTGTGCAACTGTGGTTTATGTGAGGGATGACAGCTTGGGCTTGCTCAGGCTTGCCCAGGTTGCCATCTAACTAGGACTCTCTATGTCATGTGGTTGTCATGTATGTGTCATATG